GAAAACATTTCTTTTTTTTTTTTTGGATACCTGGGATGACACGCAGACGTGTTGCTCCGAGAAATGTTGTATTCAACTCACCCACCCCCCCCCAGACGCGCGCGGTCGGCGAATCCGACAACCACATCACCAAAGACAAACTCGACCCGGCATCGCAGCACGAAAACTGCTTGTATAGGAAGCGGGGAGCGGTTGGCCAAGGTCTCCCATCTTTCGCCGCACAAGCGCTCGAGCGTGTTTGCAACCCATTAAAAGCCAAGCGAGGCGAATGTAGACGCAAGGGTTGACGCCCTGCGACTGTCCGACGCACGCGCGTTCTCCACCCCCTTCCCCCCCCCGCCCGCCCCACCTTGCCGGTCGACCGTTGCGGGGCTGGGCAAACAAGGCCCGCTCGCGACAATCGCCCGGCCCGTCCGCCCGCCCTCCGTCTCGCGGATTAAGCAATAAAGTAAACGACCCGCGCCCGTCCGAACGCGCTCGCGTCTGGCACATGCAGACGAGCGACCTCCGGGGGCGGGGCGTGCGCCGTCGCGAACGGGGGCAAGAAGAGCCCGCCGTGACCCGTAGTTAGTAAACGCGTGCGCGACAGAGGGCGGGGGCGGCGAAGAAGGACTGCCATTCGCCGGTGCGGCCGCTCCTCGCGCCAGCGACGACGTGGGGGGTGGGGGGCGCAGGGAAGAAGGAAATGAAGAAGCTAAGGACTTCTGCGGAGGTCGCTATGGTAACCCCGACAGTCCGCGCGAGCCCCCGCGCCCGCCCCGCCGCCGCAAGTCACTCACATCCCGGATCAGGGCGCGGCCCGCGCTCCCCAGGCGCCAGGCCACCCGAGCCTCACGCGCTCCAGCCGAGCCGAGCGGGCCGGGCCCCGCGCGTGCGCCGTAACGAACTTGAGACTCCGCCGCCGCTGACACAGGTCGCTCCCCCGCGCCGCCCCCTCGCCCCGGGGGAGCGCGCGATTTGCAGGAAAAGGAGAACGTATTCCCGACGTGTCCCCGGAGCGCTCTGCCGGGCGGCGGCGGGGCTGAGCTGCGGGGAAGGGCGCACGCCCGTCGACTAGCTCGAAAAGCTCGCGGCTCGCGATTTGTTCTGCCGGCCGCGCGGGTCTGGGGCACGGCCTCGGAGCGCATGCCGATGGAATCGAGGTCGGGAGAAACATTATTCGGGACCACAATATTTCATTGAGAAAAGGAACGAATTGGAATTTTGAAAAGAGTGAAGGACAAGCTGCAGAAGACAAACCATTGTAGATAGTATAAAAAAAAATTCGAACGAGCTAACATATTGGATATGCAAGAAGAGACACAGTGGTGCGTTGAAACAATAATGAACAAGCAATTGATGTCGCTAGTGTGAACTCTAAGCAAACACGCAAAAAAAAATTGAAAGTTACGTGTAGGAAAAAGGATTAGTATGTGGTAATAGTATTTTGTTGCCAATTAAATTTTCGCGCCTCATAGTCCATTAAATTCTCTTGCCACAGTTCCGTTTTTATGTAAAAAGCTAGTTGATCGGTTTCGAGTAATTTCTGTAATTCAGCGCCGAACATTCTCACAAGTATATCTTTTCCTGTTGAAGAAAGTGGATAATAATTATGGAATTATAATGAAAAAGTAAATTGATCATTCAACATTGAACATTCGACAAAATTGCTTAGTACAGCCAGTTATTGCGAAATAATTAAAATTTGCAAGCACACAGATTTGTAGCGAACCTGGATAGTACAATAGTCGCAGCGCGTTAATTCAATGCCCCCTGAAAAAGCGCAGAGGAACGCCCGTTCGGCGAAACGAGCCGCGACTTGCGCGTCGGCCCTAGTGCGAGGAAGAGAAAAGCAGAAGCGGAGCGCGGCGGGCGCGGAGCTGAGCGGCAGCCGGTGAAGAGAGGCGCGCGGAGGGTGAGAGAGCTTCGCGCTCAGGCGGCGGCGGCCGGGTTTACGTGCTGCGGCGCGGCTAGAGGGTGGGGGATCGTAAGGCGAGAGGCGGCGGTGGCGCGCGTCGCGCGCCGTTGTCGGCGGTCGCGGCGAGAGAAGCTCCCACCGCCGACCGACTGCACTGGCGCTCGCGCGCGAGCCAGCGAGAGGTCTGCGGGAGAGAGGGGGCGCTGGGGTTAGTTACGTTGCCGTCCGCCTCGGCACCTCCCCCCTCTCCTACCCCTCTTTCGCCTCCCGCCGACCGCCGCGCCTCTTCCAACCGCGCGAGGTAGTTACAGAGTTGCGCCGCCACAACCCGCTTCCCCCGACCCCAAGTTCGGCGTCGCCGCCGTGCTCCGCAGCTTCCGGCCCTCCCTCCCCCCCGCTCCCCGCTTCACGCCGCGCGTGTCGCCCCGCCGCGCCCCCGTCACCACTCGGCCCGGTCGCCGCCGCCCGACAATCTTGTGAGCGCCTCCGAGACACCGCGCGCCCCGCCGCCCTCTTCTCTCCTCTATTGGCGGCCGTGAGGGAAGTTTACAACCGCTTTTCCCGCCCCCATCCACCCCTCCGGGCGCCGCAGCGCCCTCGGGTCGAACCGGGGAGCGAGGCGGCCGCGGTGGCGAAAGTTCCGCCTCAAGACGCGGGCGGATGGGCAAGGGGGCGGCGCGGGTGGGTGTTCGGGCGGTTGCGGTCGCGCGCCGTGGCGAATCCCCAGCAACTTACACCGGACGCCGCCGCGGTCGAGCGGAAGCGGAGGACCCCTGGTGCGAGGCGGAGGGAGCAGGAAGCTCATTTGCTGGCCCGCGCCGCCGCCGCCGCCGCCGCCGCCGCCGCCGCCGCTGTTCGCCGGTCCAGGGAAATACAAACCGCTGTCAGGTGTTGTTCCTTGGGAGCGATATAATGGAGATGAGGGGGAAGACGAGTAAAAGAGATGCAAGTTTCGTCGCGTTTTACATTGGCTACGTTTGCTGGCCCGTTCCGCCGGCAACTTACGGCAGTAGTTGTGGTTTTCTCCCTTGAATGTATTTTGCGTTATATATCGTTGGAGGCCCTGAACAGTACATGCCTAAGAAATGACTCTATTACCCTCTCTACATCGTCCAGGTATTACTACTGTATGCACAACACAATTGTCTAGTGTTTCCTTGAACAGAGTTCGTAACTTCAAATATTAGAACTCTCCACATCTTCCAGATATCACTACTATATACACAACACAATTTTTCTGTCTAGTGTTTCCTTGAATATAGTTCCCAATTTCAAATATTAAAACAGATTCAATAAGAGAGTAATGTGTCACAATTGCGAGTGTATTTGAGTTGTTTGTGTATTATGTAGAAACCTAGGTTAGACAAAACTAGTGAGTCTATGTGTGTTAATCGGGCTGCGCCCTTTTGTGCTTCTGTTTCCGCCTGCCCCGGCCGCCATCTGCTGCTGCGCCTTGCAACCGCGCCTGCTGCTGCTGCTGCGCTCGCCCCCACCGCAGGCCTGAACTCAGCGGAAGAGCGCCATGTGAGTACGCGGGCCCTGCCCCCGAGCTGAGCCCACGGAGCCAACCCTTGAGCCTTGAGGAACCCCCTCCGCGGTTGCTCCCTCTAGTGCTCGCGCGCCGCCGGTGCCGTCTGCACGAAGACTGAACCCCCCGATACATTTGCTCATTCGTCTCGGACCGACCTAGATTCACTACGTAATCACTCGTTGTTCTGCATCCACTTATCTCGTTCTTCTGTAGGGTTGAGGCGACGGTTCCTACATATTCATGTTTTTAAAAGTTTCCTTTGTATTAACTTGGATTGTGGTTTTTTTTTCTTCTGCTTCGATATGTATTAAATTCTAATGCTAATTCATTGTTTGATTTATCTGTAACGTGTGCTGGAATGAGATGTGTTATTAATGTCATAATTTTTTTAAATATATTGCTACCGTGTTAGCGCGGGAATCTCATAAAATTGTGTTGTGTAGCGTAAGTTTTTTTTTTTTTTTTTTTTTTGCACTATCCCAAGGCTCAGAGGTTTCTCACTGTCTTAGCAATATCCTCTGTGATAATGTGGTGAAGTGTTGTACTGACTTCAAGAGTAATTGTAGATTTGTTTGTTAAGTACTGCATTACACTTGTGTAGATATGTACATGCATTTACACGTGTGCTAAAATGTGGGAAGCATGCACGTTTGTTGATATATTGTCTTTCCATGATGTCAATAGTGATGTATTCCACATATCCTCTTGGAGGTCATGCTTAGGAATGGCAGAGGGTGAGATTGAGAGTAGTCCATTCGTGAAAAGCATTACCATCCAAGATGTTTCTGACTGGGCTTCTTTCACTAAATATTGTAAATCTAATATTTATTAAGTGATATCTGAAATACGTAACCGCCTTGAAAATGTAAACTATGAACATTGTACAAGTTTGACTAAAGCTTCTGCAAAAAATCTAACTGTGGCTTTTGAAAATTATTTGCAACAGAAGTGTTACTTCCCAGATAGACGGAGCCCAGTTGCATTACAAGCTGGTACAGCGTTTAGAGGTTTTTAGCGGACACAATTTTTTTTTTACAAAATTCCAAAAGATTAAATGAGCGGTTGCCCAGCGGGTACGAACAGTCATTTGGGATCCAACACTACTGAACAAACCTTGACATCCAATCACCCTATCCTACCTTCCTTTTTAGGCCGGCTCTACTTGAGAAGCGGACCTAATATTACACTTAGATGTCTTAATTCTCAGCGCCTTTTTGTTAAAAAAAATCTACCCATGGAAATAATCGAATTTGTAATTGAGTCTAAACTGAATCATAACGTGTTTCATCAGAAGTTTTATAAAATCATTCCTTATGAGTTAATTCCATGGATATTGTTCCAGTTAACCTTCTCAACACAAGTTTGCAAAGATTCATTTGAGCAAATTCCTATTTTAATCGCATTTTTCACGGATCTGACAGAAAATATTTGCCGTAGTGTCAGCAGACATCGATCAGAATATTGTACCGGGCCGTTTTCATGCCGGCCCTGCTTCCCTCGCAAAGTCCTTGTTCCTCCGCAAAAAAGGCAGGCAGGCCGCTTCCCACATTTTAGCACCCCCACCGCCCCGTCCCCGGACCCCTGCTCTGAGGGTGGCGCCGGGTGCGGCGGCCCCTGGCGGCTGCGGAGCGAACCAGCAACCACGCCACACTCCACATGAAGAACAGCGATCACAGTGGAAAGGAGTTGACGACACGCCAGTGCTCTGACATAATAGTAGCTGTGAGAAATGGGTCTTCCAGAATTTACACGTATTCATACACTCATACAAATGTTTTAAAAATGTCATTATTGATTTATCTTAATATACCTGCCGGTACATTCTTGCATTACATAGACTGCAACATTTCTAATAATTAGGTTTAGTGTGTCGAGGAGAAGTTTTGCCAGATATGTTGACACAGTGTTTTTGTTCAAAGGTGAGTAAACTTCACGACCACACAATAACCCCCCAATACCCCAGATATAATTGAAGATATCGTATGTTACTATTTTAAATATGTGTAGTGTTAACGATAAACATGAAATTAGTTTTTATCTGGAGCTTGACTATAAATTCTCGCCCTAGCAGAATATGATTTCGTGGTCCTTCCCTCATACAGTTAAGGTTAGTGTACCTCCTCTGAACGATCATGACTTACAAGTACACATACTTGTATGGTGACAGATGCTTCTAGTAAGTACAAAGATTCAATATTTTTATGTGTTCTTATGAAGACATTTTTCAGCCGTCAACCTGACCTCGACTGGCAACTGGATTGAAATCATACATCCGATAAACGCCGCTTCGACTTCCCATCTGTCGCAATAACATTTCTAACTGGCTCCCTCCCGACGCGCGTGACAATTATCTTTTCTTCCCCGCCAACTTTATCCGCGCGTGTTTGTTAACGAATTGAAAGCGCCGAGAACGGCCGGCCGCTCGTGATTTATTTCTCCGGCGCCGCGCCGTGCCTGCGCCCCGCGGCGCCCGGCGGAGAGCGTGGGCGAGGCGGAGCGGCGCGGGGGGGGGCGGTGCATGAGCTCCGCGAGGGGGGAGGGGCGCTAAGCAGCCATCGAACGGCGCTTATTTTAAAATTAATACTCGCCGCCCTCCGCCGCCTGGCCTCGGCGGCGGCGGCGCCGCCGCTCTGATTGTTATTAATGGCTTCTCTTCGAGAGGTAATTTATTTTGCGCCCCCCGCCGCCGCCGCCGTTGCCGCCTTCCCGCCCCCTCGTGAGGGGCTGCGAGCGCGCAGGGCGGGGAGGAGGATGGGGGGGGGGGGCTTTATTAAAACCGGAGGCGTGACAGGACTGGCGGCGACGGCCTCGGGGCGCCCTCGTCGCCCTCCTCGCCTCGAATGCCACGCCCCCTTCCCCCCGGACCCGAAAAGCACGCGCCTCACTTCCGTCTGGGGCGGGGCTTGTTAGTTGTGAAGTGTTATGGGAAATGGAAACGAATCGATTGCATAGACCCTTAGTTGCATTCTATTGATTGTATTAATTTTTTTCGTTTTGCGGGGTGGGGGTGCAATAATCCCAGCATGACGAATATAGTGTCTTTCGTCTTCCAGATTCTTAATATGCTATGTGCATCGTACTGTCTGCCATGCATTTACCAACCACGTTTGCCACATTTGTTTTGGGCCTAACGAGACTTTTTCAATTTCAAGATTCTACTTACTCGATTTGCCTTCCTTTCCACGTAGTTCGGAAAAGAGCTTTGCAGGTCCAGTTTATAATTAATTTGGTTAGAATAGTATGAGCTGTCAGAGAATTTCATTTGTCAAAGAAGAAACCAAGGATAGATTAAGGTATAGGGCAAGGAAGAGGAAGGAAAGATCGCAAGGCGGTCCATAGCGTTCGTCAGGGTACTCCTCCGTCATCCGACTGGTGATCATTGGAGAAACCACGGAAACTACCAATCAGAGCGACCGGCCGCTAGAATTCTCCTCCAGACTGCGACTGAATTCGACCGAGCTGTCTAGCTAGAGGCGAAAATCCTGTCACGTCAGGACACTCCCGGTCAGAGGCACTGCAGAGACATGCGTTGATGCCCTGAGCCAACTTTGCCGGTACCGATAATTCTGTGACGCTTACAACCGGGAAACTCAAGATACTAAAACTCCCCTGAACGAAACGGCAGGCTTTATTCGCGCGCGCATATCCAGCGTGGCGCGTGCCGACCGGTCGGTCGACTCGCGCCCTCGCGGCCTCGTCCGCGCGCGTGTTTGTCCCCGGAGAAGGCGTGCGGGCGCGGCGATAACCCCGTCGCACGCCGCCGCCGGACATGACGTCAGCGGGCGTCGCGGGGGAGGGCGGAGGCCCCCTTCCGGCGACGCGCGTGACCCCGCGTCGTCCTCGGGGGTTAGCGCGCCCGGGGCGCGGGCGCGTGCTGCCCCGACGCGGCACGCGGGCGGCGCGACGCGGCGGCGGCGGCTGCCTTGTTAGAGAGATTTGACAGCTTGCGAGTTTGTGACGCGTGCGGGCGAGGAGGTGGGTCGGTCCGCCCTCGGGATTCGCGCGGGGGTGAAAGTGCTCCTTGGGGAGATGGGCAGAAGTTTGACTTAGAAGTTGGAAACTCCTATCGGTTTTTCTCTTTCCGGTTCCATGCTGAGGCGGGGGAAAATTGGTCAAATTAATTTGCACAATTTGTTTTTCTTCCTGAAGCGTGGCAAAATTCATACCTGATCGCGTAGGCGTCCGCGGCCGGAATTGGTGTTTTCTAGGCCAACCCGGCACAAGCCGCATCTCTGACGTAGAGGCTGGCGTTGCGGCCAACATAGTGTGGTCAAAACGTCAGTCACCACCCAAAGGCCACAATATGTTGGCTGAAACGACAGTGACCATGACTGAGACGCGGTTCTTCCGCATAGTCTAGATAGAACAAAATTCATACCTCTTCTAATTGTCCATATAACAATGAACTTAGCTGGTATCTCAAGTCAAAAGTTAGCGCTTGGAAACAAATATGGTTATATGGTACAAGGTATATCCCTATTGTTGAAATTTGTTTGTCCTCCCTTGTCACCGTGCTGTGCTTGAACTGCTCGGAACTGCACACCTCTCTCCGGCGGATCTCTTCTTCGTTCCGTTTTCGCTTCTTATTTGCGACCGCGGCACGTCAACGGCCCCATTTATCATCCGAGGCGTCCTCGCCCCCGGCTTCCCCGGCCACCCCCGTTCTCACGACCCGCGGCGCCCCGATAAAACTGCAGGAGGTGTCGGGGTGGCAGCGGCGGACGGGCGCCGGGCCAACTTATTAGAACGCCGAGCGACTTCTAATGACGATTTATGACCTTCCGCCCGCCCCCGCCGCTGCACCCCCTCATCCGCCCCCGCCCGCCTCTCGTGTTGATGGCAGTAAAGAAGACTCCTGCAGATTTCAAGATTACATTAAAGCAGGGGTAGCAAAACGAGAGCCTCGGGAGGTTGTTAAGTTCAAGGAAATGATGAGGAAAGAATTAAATTATAACAGTGAGTAATTGCGTGGAGGGTCCTTTTGTCGTCAACA